AATGTTGCTATAAACTTGAATTAACATTTTGTTAATTTAATTAAGTGTTTTGGTAAATGATGTAACTTGTTTCGGACGATAGCTCCCACGTTATATGGGTCGGAGATTAATATAGTTGTTACGTTGTTATGTACTTAAATGATTTGTGTTAGTTCTGCGGGGTCGACCTACACATAAAGCATTGTAATGTCCATGTTTCACTACGAGATACAACCGCGATTTGGTCGGACAATTTGTCAGTTTGTCCGCGTCTGTCGGACGTCTCGACTGGTCGCAGTAGCCGGCCCACGCTTGCAGATTGAATTACTCCCAAACGTCTTACTGGTGTACCCAAACATTTGCTGCTAGTCTGCAACTCATTGAATCGGTAAAGCTTACCCACAAACCGCGTAAGCAGCTCGGCGACGTACCGCCGCGGAGATGCATTTGAATTTAAATATTTCTTCGTCGTTGAAGACTGGTTGTCTTGACTGAGAGCATGTCTGCTCCGTGAACAAGTCAACGATAAATCAATAAAAGTATTTGCTTGCACATTGCATGTTAAATGTGTACGTACCAATAATTACGTAATCGACAGGCATCGTAAGAAATTTCGAAGCACGTTCGCTTCACGCATGCTCGAATGGCGCCCAATGGCACCTTGAATTGTCTTTGTTTTTAAGTGTCAGTTTCCTTTGTGATACATGCATTAATTGTTCCGTCTCAAGGTCTACTAACTGTGGGAGTCCGTTTAGGGTGAAAATATCTGGACCGTGACCAAAATAAATGTGTTTAAATGGATCACCGGCATACACGCATGGTTTAAATTAATCTTTGTAAATATTTTTGTAGTGTGTGAGAATACAAACGTATATAAGAATGCCAAACCATTGTTAGTGGACAGAATTAGCATATCAACATTCGGAGTCAGTACTTTTAGAGGTCGCCTAATGTAAATCGTAGAGCTCTGCCATATAAACTATTTGATTGTATCAGATAGAGCACAATGCTCAATTTATGTCACAATTTAAAGCCCCAATATGCGTTGGTATGTCTGTGTAGTGTGTACTACTATATTTACTTAATGTTGTTTTTATTTAAATTAGGTAGACGAGTTGAAAATACACGAGAATTACAGACAGAAATTTTGCATATGCAAACAATGGCAGCTAAATATTTGGCGGATTATTCAAAAAGTAGTGAGTAACTGTGGAAGTTTTAACTGAAGATGTTATAACAATGTACTTATAAATAAATAAATCTTCATTTTTGCTTTTAATATGAAGTGAGTTCTTTGTTACACTTTTTATGGAGGTGTATTGGCATCGTGGCGGGCTGGCAGGGTTAAATCATTGTGTTACTTGAAGCAAGGACAAAAAACTTCATGGTGAAGCACATCAATTTGCAGCAGACAATGCTAGCGCGTACTTACGTGATTCTAATCTAATAATAAGGTGGTAGGTACAAGAAAATGTTTCATTACGTTTTGGTTCGTGTCAGTAAAGCCGGTCGGTGTACGTGGGCCGCGTGAATAAGAAAGTCTTGAACCGGTTCGCAACCAGCTTCCACTGAGGTGTCTACTTTCAAATCACAATAGACGTATTCGACTTATCTTAGTACTAAACCGAACTAACAGCTTCTGTGCCATAAACCTCAACTCTAGGTCTTAAAATACCGGAATAAACTAACTTCAATTAAACTTGGAAAATGTGAAGAGGTTACAAAAATGGTTTTGAGTAATTAATTTTATTAACAACATCGTGGCTAGGCTATAAGCAATTGAATACCTAGTTTTAAAGTCTAGGGATGGGATTAACTTTAACAAATATTTTTCACAACTGATCTGAAGTGAAGACACCAAATATCTTTATGTACCGGTTAGCCTTGCGACGGCAATATTTGTTCAACACAAATGTTAAACAAGACGTCTTTATAAACAAAACATTTTAAAAGAGCAGTGTTTGGTGGATATTGACTGCTAAAACCACTTGAGTAACAGCCCCAGTGGAAAAAACCTGACTAGAAAAAGGCTAAAACGATAATGCAATGTCCCTTTAGTTTAAATAACTAATTTTTATTATAATACTAAGTTTGTTTATAGAGGTGCGCGTGCGCGGGTGTGTCTAGTATTTTGGTCGAATGCACACACGCGAAGCTCGCGTCCGCCCGCGCTTCTGATATAAAATCAACTCGACAAAAACATCGTTATTTTTATTCAAGAGCCAAGGCCAAACCGCCATATTGCAATCGCTGTATATCAGCACAACAGTGTTGGTCCTGTAAACAAGGTTTTATTATGATTATCATTCGAATATCAAGAGTCAAGATGGTGCACTTTAAGTGTTAATGTTTGTATGTATATGTATATTCTAGCATCGAAACAAACTAAATTTATTCACAGACACACCAAATATAGACCCAGACATTTTGTTATTTACATCAAATGTAGGTATTACTTTTATGTAAGATATTAAATTACTTAATTAAGATGACTCAATTACGCAGCCGGCGATGCGGCAGTTTCCGTGCATGTTGCTCATGATTACGAGCCCCCAGTATGTCTTGAAACCAGTCGAGTAACGTTGTAGACTGGCTACGCGAGTTACCAGTACAACTGAATCAAATTCTCTCTTAACTCGTTGAGTACCGTCGTTATAGACATAATTATAGAACAATAGGTTGCGGTCACCGGTGACCGCTTGGTGATTGACAGTTTAAGAGTTAAAAATCAAGAATGTAAATATTTTATTTTGTTTCCAAAACATAATTACTCAGGCGCCAAATCTAATCGGATTCACGTGGGCCAACTCGTGTTTTTGATGTCGACCAAAAGTACGTGTAATAGTCAAATTCTTGTTGTTTTGTCTTGTTCTAATCAGGTGGATCTTAATGTTATGGTATTTTCCATTTGCAAAAAAACTTTGTCGTTTGTAGGTACAATTTATGCAGGACCTGTGTAGGGTTTTCCATCACTCCAATCCATTTTAGGGCCCAAAAAGGTCGTATATTTTCAGTTACATATAGATTATAATCTGTATGAGTTACGTACAGATTATAATCTGAATGTCACCGATTTTTTTTTAAGGGGGAAAAAATCATCGAATGTCTGCTCCCGCCTGGGTGAGGCGGAAGGGAGTGTCAGACTATTACTTACTAAAAACCACCCCGTTCCTTCTGCACGTCGAGCCGGAGCCCCGGTAACCCGTGGTTCTCCGCGACGTATGTCACGGATAGTGCTTCATTTAGGCAGATACAGACGGTGACTTAATAGATTGGTTTTTAGAATTTCGCAGCAATGAACTCTTGCAAAAATCTCGTTCGGTCGCTCCATTACACGAGTCTAAAACAGCCGACTAAAGAAGGAGGTGAGTGTGTTTGTGTTACACGTGTAGCGTCTACAAATTGCATGTGAAAAAAATATACTTAAAGGCACAAATAAACACTAATTCTTATCAAATGAACCTCAAACATTTCCTGTTGCTATGTTTACAATTTCAGTACTTACCTACACGTTATCATTTTATGTGGTAATTTAATTTATACGTGCAACCATTAAGAGTCAGCGTTGCGATCACGTTACGTAACTGGGCCAGCGTTTGTTTGTCGGCGTTTTTGTTCATGAAATTAAACTAACCTATTGTATCGCCAAGGTCACCCATATTAAGTCGAGCGTACTTCCGTTCAAGCGCAAGTCGACGAGACTGCTAAGTTGCGTCTCTGAATCAAAATTACTGGCTTTGTACGTAACTATACACTTATATATATACGCACAATAAAGGGATTCCATTTAAAATGCATCGCGCGTATTCTACGCTGGCATTACAAAAGTAAAAATAAATATTTTGTAGGCTTTTGTTACTTGTGAAGCGATATTGATTCAGAATAGTCGATTAAACATTCACAACATCGTTTAAAATAGTCCGCCAGTCTGCCAGAAGAATTACAAAACAACAGCGTCAACATTATAATCGCCATTTTTTATCTATGGCCGAATGTAAACACTTTGTATTGACACGCCCCGCCACGATACGAAAGCCGGTATCTAATTCTGTTGGCCTTGACAATGAAAAAACAAGTTTTTTGCGCCACCTTGAGACTGCTTTTTGCTTCACGTGGATGGCATAAAAACGATGCATATTGTACTAGTTTACAGTTTATTAACTCAGACGCAAAATATTTTTTTTTCTTGCCATTTTGTTTTTATTTAATTGCTTTGCACGTGTTTTGCATTGCGAACTTAATGTAAAGGTTGCCGCGGAGAACTTAACTGGTTACCGGGGCTCCGGCTCGAAATGCAGCAGTAGGAACGGAGTGGTTTTTAGTCAGTAAGAGTATGACACTCCCTCGCGCCTCACTAAGGCGGCCCTTATAAAAAAAATGTAGATAAAGGTTGGTATGGATATTTTAAGTTTATTAAAACCATTTAAAGTACCTATCTTGTTGAAATTAAAAATATGTAAAGCGCTTTTAATTCTTAATTGCCAAACTAGTTTATTTTTTGTTCTTCTTTGTTGTTCACGATTTTCTTTAAAAAAAATGTCGTTACTCGTTTTTGTAATTCAAGACACCGTGGATAATATTAAACGTGCTCGTCTCTATAATAAAGGATAAACGTCATTTGATTAAAAATGGCGGTGCATTCCCGTCTGCATTAAATCCGCAAGTCTGCGTGTTCGCTGTAAATCCGTGTAACGCGATTAGGCATAAACCATTTCAATACTGACGGCACGAAATGTGCTCGTCGCAAAGGGCAGTACACAGAAAATTGGATTTCGATTCATCACTGCGATGAAAGGGTTAAAAGTTGGAAGACTTCGAGATTGGAGGAACGGGGAAGATAAAGTTGCTCATGGAGCAAATCGGAATGGAGTAAACGTGATGTCTGGCGTTGTAATAACTGAGATTACATATTGTTAAGCGTTGTAATAGCTTTACCTGCAGGCTACGTTGTAATATTTTACGAAATGATTCACAGATGCGCTCTCCATTGTTTTTTCAAATGTTTCTTTTTATTTTCACAGAGCCGGGGCTGGCGCTAACGGCATTTTCTCTCGAAGACTGGACTTTTCTACTTTCAACCTTCTACCGAAGCACAAAGTCAACTCATATCAAATCAAGGTACGTACTTTTATACTGTAATCCTGGTTATTGTACAAAGGGAAAGAGAAAACAACACTTTAACGACACAGGATCAATTCCTCCGGGAGCTCTAAAGTCTAGCGTAAACACTTAACAGTCCTTTCAAATAGAAATGTTATGTATTTTCCAACGAATAAAACGGAACATGAAACTACTGTTAACACTGAAAAGCAATCAAATAACGTGAAAGTATCAGGGTCATTTATTAAACTTTATTTATCAAAATGATTTTTATGAGAACTGCCAACGAAAGAATTGACGTCAAACTGAGCACCCAGAATATGTGAAGAATTTCTCAAATTCTATAATTTGTCTACGAACTCACTCACTCGTCGTTTCTACGTAATTAATCTTTTTCAAACGAGACCTGCACGTACGCTTCTAACTGGACGCAAGTACCAGAGGTAGCCAATAAAATATTTTTATTGCAGAAAAACTTCGTTGAGGTGAAAGTTTGCTTTTGTTGTCGGCGCCATAAAAACACAGGGTGACACTTTTCGCGATAAAACGCTGTCACGGGTGGCGCCGGGGGTGGTCGGTACATTTTCTACCGAATAAACGTAACTTTTCTGTAATTTAATCGTACCACTGGGTGGTTTATGCGACACTCCTTTAACCGCCAGACGAAAGTAAAACGTCGCCTTTTTAGCGTTTTAAATAAACTTTATTTCGGTTTAATGCAGGTTTGTAACAGGTGGTAACATTACAGGTGACGTCTGAAGTGTATTTCAACGCAAAAAGCATTCCATGAATATTTGAATTCCTTTTTTAAGTTTTGAATTCGGAAGCACTTATTTTTAATTGAATAATGGAATCAGCCAGTACCGGTAGCAACGTAAATAAACAAAAAGTATTTATTTATTTCATGGCCTCCTTCAAAAGACGAAGTAAATGAATGCCAGCCAGTGTTAAAGTCGTTGCCATATTTTGAGTTCACATAACTTTGCACCAACTCGGGCGTCTGCGTCTGTTTAAAATTAATGAAATTGTTATTAGTGCTTGTGTGCATAAACCGATATAATAACAACATAATGTTGTTAAATTTTGTTGTTAGTTATTAGCGATTTATTCATAAGTATATTACAGAATCAGAACGGAATCGATTAGCAGTTAGCACGCCCACAAAAAATATAATTGATGGGTTTTCAGTCCGTACTAATGTGTGCGAAAAGTGGATAAGTAGCTGTGATAAAAAACTGGTAGGAATTCTTATTTCGCAAGAATTCCTTTAAGATTGAACGTTGGTTGAATAGCTAAGATGGTCGCTACGGGTTTTATGCAATCGTTTAAATATTTGCCAAATAAATATTATGCATACATCGACTCGGTCACGTACTCAATCTGTTTATTATCAAAGAGTATTTTGGTGCAGGCACACAGATATCTATTACCAGGAATGGATAAAAACTTAATAGCCTGCTTAGTCATCTGTCACAAAAAAAAGTATTAAAAAAAAAGCGGAATAATCTTTACATAACAACTTAACATCCCGCCTTTTATTCCCGAAGGAATACCTACGTATTAATGAATGACTTTTCACTTTTTATATTATTAAATTAAAAGGAAAAGATTATTCCACTGCCTTAGTGGTTGCAAGTGCAACTGCTGGGTAAGGGGTCGCGGGTTCGATTCCCGGGTCGGGCAAGGTATTACTGGACAATTTTATATGACAAAATACTCACACCTATTACACGGGACTCAGAACATAAATAGTGAAAAGATGGTGTTACATTGTACAATGGCATTAAGTGACGCAATGTACACCTCTGCCAACCCCTCCGGGGATAAAAAAAGGCTTGATATTATGTAAATTAACACCAACGTTATCTATGTATAAAAGAAGTTATAACAAATGAATAGATCTAATATCAGAGTCCTCATCTATTTAAACTGTCAAACACCAAGCGGTCACCGGTGACCGCAACCTATTGTTCTATAATTGTGTCTATAATGACGGTACTCGACGAGTTAATTGTCTCATTGTGTAAAACCTGGTATACATTTCTGATAATGAATGGCATTTTCTCACTGTAAATCAGTACCCATTAACGATAAAAAAATTCTTTCATTTCATACTATTTAGATGGAAAAAAAGAGATAGAAGATATAAAGAAATCGAGAGCAAATGAGTAGTTTTTAGAGCCTTAGAGCAAAATAGGTGATTTGGAACCAATTTTAAATTATATACCCAAAGAAAACCTAAAAAGCGATGGCGCTAGCTAGTGTCTAAATTAAGTAGCAACTATAGCTAATTCTGTAAGATCTCTCTCTAAGTACAGATAAATGAAATTCAATCCTAATCTCACTAGTGTAAGCCTCAAAATTCAATGAACAAGTCTTCTGTAATATTAAATGCAATTGTTTGCTCTAAGCTAACCCTTTTGATCTCATTACCTTAAGAAGAAGACCGTTAAGAATAGATTCTGAAGCCATTTAGTCCTTTTTTGTGATGGTATTTAGCATACAATGCTTACTGTTAAAGGGTTAAAATTTAAAAGGCAATATTAATACAACTATATTAAGTTATATGACTGTCTCGTTGGCCGAGTGGTCATTTGTGCGACTGGGTAAGGGGTCTCGGGTTCGATTCCCGGGTCGAGCAAAGTATTACTGGGTTATTAAAAAAGTTTCTCGGTAGTAGCACGGAGTCTGGAATTGTGCCCGGTATATGGCAATAGGCTCACCCCCTATTACATGGAACTCATAACATAAATAGTGAAAAGTAGGTGTTACATTGTACAGTGGCATTAAGTGCCGAAATGTGCACCTCTGCCTACCCTTTCGGGGATAAAAGGCGTGATGTTATATGTATTATAAAAAGATGGGTGTAATGTGCCCTGCCTTTTTAACAGATTTTTGTTTAACAGTAGCTATAGAGAAGAAGTTCTATTATCTATTGTCATGCAGTGTGCAAAAAAAAAAATAAAAAAAACCTGAATCTTGTGTAAAAACTGACATGTTATATACAGCTCATGTAATAAAATACAATATGTAATTTAAATACCTAACTAAAACAATACATTTAGTTTGTTTTCTTTTTACCGGAAAACCTCCAAAAAATTGCCAAAAAACAGAGATTACCTACCGTACATTTTCCTAATAAAAATTTCCCGGAAAATGCGCATAATCAAAACACACTTTCGTGGATCCTTAAAGAATTGTTCTCGCATATATTATTTTGCAATTGTCAGTCGTTATGTTTGTTATGCGACTCTGGTATCTAATCTCAGGCCTTGAGCCAGTTGTGTGTCAACCGACGGTCATTCCCCTGCCCGTCGTGCTCGCAGCTATTTTTGCTCGACGTTTGTTTGTTATTTATTACAACACTCAACACATACGCTTGACTGTAGTTGAGCTATATTAGGTTTGGTACTATATAATATTGTTCGTTTATGCGGTGCATATGGCTATATGCTTCATTTGTGTATGGTTAATTCAGAATCGAAAGTGCGCGGGCCAATCGGAAAAATGTTTTCAAAATGGGAATGGTTATAGGATCTATGAAAAACTGATGTGATTTTAACATGCTTAAAATATGATTTATAAGTACGTTTCTTTTCTCATCCATAGGTCATATAGAGTTTGTTTAAAATCAGAATAAAATAAGAACACTGGGTATGAAAAAAAAAATATAATTAGTCCGTAAGTTAGGTCTTGAAAAAATATTAGACACTTATTTTTTTATTTTGTCGTATAATAAAACAATACTTAGATAAAACGAATCAAATTTTAGGAGTGGAGAATAAAACGTCATTTCTACGTATAAATGTACGTAGAAGTGACGTCACGCGACATTTCAAATCAATATATCGTCGAAAGTATTAGTTTCTGTAAGAAAATAGAAAATACTTGTGTAATGATTTACAATAATCTACCAGATAAACATTAAAATAAAAATTAGGCTTCTACCTTATTTATAAAGGAGTCTATTTAACTAAAAATTCTATATTGTAATCCAGTGTCTATCTATATTACATATAGATAATATTTTGCACTTTAAATTGAAGAGAATTAAGTTTATGATTGACCTTAGACTTGTCTATCAATGTTCAAAGAGTGTTGTTGTAAATAAACTAATTTAACACAGGTTATAAAGTTGTTACCATTATGTAGTTACTAGTCAGGCTTTCTCTAAGTGGACATATAAATTTTAATAGATTATCTGAAAGTTATACATGTTTATAACGTTTTATGGAACCATAATCTAGAGACGGCAGAATATGAACTGAGCTCTTTAACTAAATAATTTGTACGTATTTTAATACCTTAAGTGATGGTGTAATTACATTACCATTACAATAAACACTTACTTGAATTCTGCCTTTTAAACATTTTTTTGTTTGAGTAAACTTCGATCGTTAGTCACGATTTTCGTACAACCAGACAGATATTCCACGTAATTTAGATTGTATTTTAACATAGATAATCAACGACGGTAATTTAAATGCTATTTCGTGCTACTCTGACGCGCGAAGTGCTACTATTGTGCTGCTAACGTCCGCTCGTGCACCGACCGAGGCACGCGAGATAATTTAAAACATTTTCCTCACTTATCTATCACGTAAATACGCGACCGGTATTGTCTTGTAGCCGACTCGTTTCGCGTGAGAACACCCCGTTTATTCGACAGGGGAAACTTCATAATTCTCCTCACACCCCCTATACACCCACCCCCTACATTGTACCAACGTGTTCAGCTAACGTTTACAAGATCTTTTACTTTATCTCGAACTGGTTTACTTCGATCTCTAAAAAATAAATCACGTCCGTTCAGGCCGGTAATAAAATTCAATAGGCAAGCTATAAAATAAATATCGGTTTCTTCCTACTGGAATCTAATAACCAAGTGAAACGATACAGAGATACTGGGACTGAGCTGTAAGCATGATTGATAACAGCGACAAGCGAGGCACGTTTTCGCGGAGCGGCATCATTAAATCCCAGTCCACTTCTTCTATTTATGGTGGCTCGCTGTCTAC